GGGCCCCCCTCCCACGAGAGATAATTCCTTTATAAGACATTTTCTATGAGTCTCATAACTGACTGAAAGCGTGCCGTCCCAGAGAATGGAAAGGGGACTTTGTGTGTCAGTATAGTGTGTACATTCCGTTTCCACTCAGGTTTTTTGACCTTCTACAATGGCAATAAACCAATTCCCAGCCAGATTGAGCTTGTCACAGAAATGCCACAATGGTTTGACATGAGGAAATATATATCAGTCTCATCATTTTCTTAAAAATAAAGGGATAAAACTCTATGTTCTTCAGAATCAAACTTTTAGCAAACTAGGATACACGAGAGCTTCCTCATTGGTAACATCAGTGGCTTTAATGGGTCTTTGCCAAAAAGTCATGGACGAAACGCCACATTGTGATGATCTTTTCAAAGCACGTCTTCAGATTTAGGGAATATAGGAGGCTCACTACTGTCTCGGCCTGGACTGAATATCAAAGATGATGTCCTAGTTGCCACAGAATTATTAGGAAAAAAGAATAAAAATACAAAGGACTGAATAAAAGGCAACAAGAAAATGCTCATAAATTATATGATGCCATAAAAAGAGAATTCACAAAATCAACAAAAATTTAAAAAATCAAGACAACTAGACTAGAAGACCAATATGGATTAACAATAAAGAATGAGAAAGCCTATTTTTATTTTAGAAAATCTATTTTTAAAAGACAGCATTTATAATCTTATCTAAAAAGTAATAGAGGGGTGTTGTGATTTATAAAAAGGATTATTTCTATATTCTGGTAGAAAGGGATAGACCTTAGTAACAGAAATAAAGAAAACCTAATTGGGCACATTCTTAAATGAGAAGATTCAGCAACATAGAAAATGTTAATTCTCCACAATGAATCCATAAAATCATTAAAAGTATAAATCAAATCTCAGTACTTGGTCACGAAATCTTGCAAGTTTATTATTAAAGCACAGAAGAAAAGTAAAGGGGCAAGAATAGCCAAAACAACTTTAAACAAGAAAAAAAAAGGCTGGCACTACTAGGTTAAAAGAGAATAATTAATAAAGGCAGGGTAGTATTAAGATTGTAAGTACTTCCAGGAGGGGAAGGGGAAGGTGGAGGGAAAAGGGGGAACTGATCACAATGATCTACATATAACCCCTTCCTGGGGGGTTGGACAACAGAAAAGTGGGTGAAGGGAGACATCAGACAGTATAAGACATGAAAAAATAATAATAATTTATAAATTATCAAGGGTGAGGGAAGGGGGGG